CACAGGGCACGTGTGATGCTCCAGGGTCTGGTCCTGAGAGCAGCTCTGAGATCCCCTCGGGTGTCACCACAGCCTGATCGCGTCCCTTTGTTACTGCACAAACTCTTTTTCCTGGTCCATTCCACCATCTAGTGGACATCTCTGAGAGGACACAGTCAGCAACCTGAGAAGGCAAGAGCTGCCCCGGCACACAAAAGTTTAGGACAGCTAAAAATAGAAACGACCTCTAAGATCATCAAGTGCAACCTCTGCCTGAATCCCACCACGTTCACAAACCATATCATGAAGTGGCACTATTTCTCATTTTTGAAGACTTCCAGGGACGGTGTCTCCACTACTGCCCTGGGCATCCTGTGCCAATGCCTGATCACTCTTTCAATGAAAAAATTTTCCCTATTATCCAACCTGAACCTCCTCTGGCACAACTTGAGGCCGTTTCCCCTTGTTCTGTCACTCGTCCTCTCAGCTGCTCCTCATGAGATTTGTGCTCCAGAGCAGGGTACATGAAGTAACAACTCTCTCTGGTTCCTACATGATTTTGTATCTTATTCAAGATCTGCCCAGATCCTTTGATTGCTCTGGGTAACAGATGTGTTACTTTGCACTTTAGATGAAAACTTGATCAAGTTCAGAGCACCAGGGTAGACTTGTAAAAGGGTTTGAACATTTAACACGAACCCTGATTAATCCTGTGAATGGAGATCTCAATGAGCCATACAGAGGCTCCTCACAGGGAGCATCCTGCTGCATGGCACTGGGACTGGACAGTGCTTGACAGCTGCCAGTGACTCCACATCACTCCTGTGAAGTTTATATTAATCACGAGGTAAAACCCAGTGATCAGCACACAGTGGAACAAACATAGAACAGCTTCCCCAATGTGTTCCATGGCCTGGCTGAGACTGGATCCTGGCTTTGATCCATGTGCTGATAGGAGCTGGTTAGGAGAACCTAAAAATGGGGATTTTTACAGTCACCTCTATAGAAGGAAATCCAGCATCCTACAGTACACACATGCATTACACTAAGAAAGAACTTTCACCCCAAACCACTGAAGAAGCCTTTCAGAAGATATTTGGATCACGGCAGGAACTATTTCATCACCACTTCAGCAGTCACAGAGTGAGAATTGAGGGTGAACCTGGAGTAGGGCAGATGACAATCACCTTCATGTAGAGAGCCTGGTGCAGGAATGGCTGGAAGAAAAAGGCCATAGTCAGATCAACTTAGTGAGGCTAGCAAAGTGGGCCTCAGTCTCAAGAATACAGTGTCCTTGAGATAAGGAAGGCACGCAGAATTGAGAAAAACATAAATGCCAAAGTGCTTAGCTAAGCAGCACATCTAGACCAATGAGGAGCTAAGATTTTGCACTATGCATGAGCTAATTAAGCATTGTATTTAATCGCCACTCTGCGTATCAATAAACGAGACTTTGCTGATCACCACCTGGTGTCCGCGTCTCCCTTCTCCGACACCTTCATGCCTTGATTTTTATCTGTCTGCAATATTCTGTACTTAAAAATCAGCCAAGATGCTTTTCACAGGTACTCAGGGGCAGAAATGCCCTGAGCACTTTGGGAGCACATGAGATGCTCTACCTGGAGGTGTTCAAGGCCAGGTTGGACAGGGCTTGGAGCAACATGGGATAGTAGAAGGTGTCCCTGCCCATGGTATGGGGTTGGAACAGAAGGATCTTTAAGGTCCCTTCCCACCCAAACCACGCTGGGATTCTGTGATTCCAGGTGTCCTGTCTGTCCTTGGTGATACCAGACTTCTCCTGCAAAGCCTTCAGCTGCTAACAAGAGATGGGGTCAGGGTGGATGGGGATGGTGACAGGGATGTCCTCACCCACACTGCTGCCATCTGGGCCACGTGCAGGGCATTTGGAGTCAGAAGAGCATGAGCTGACATCCACCCAACATGATATGAGTGGGACAGGTGCTAAATGTAAATATCAGACACCTGTGGTGATAAGCAGCACCTGTAACAATAAAGACAAAGTGTTTTCTCTGCCCAGCGGTGGGGTGGCAGCCATGCCCACACCCCACGGAGTCTGCAAGCTCCTGGATATTGTGTCACTGTCAGGAGCACTCCAGTGCAGGGCCATCTTTAGCCACTTCTTTCACTGGTCACAGAGAAAAGAGTCACTGAAACTGGTGTCTCAGTCTCCAAATCTCCTTGCAACAGGTCATCCTGTCACCTTCAGGAGGGACCAAGCTTAGAGGAAGCTGTGAATGTCCTGACTGGAATAACTGCACGTATGTATCATACATATTATATAATTGATTATTGTCACTGTCATTAATGTCATATACATGTGACACAATAAGCCTTTCCCTGTACAAATAGGCCCCTAAACTACAAGGAAGTTCAAGTGAGTGTTTGAGGAGGATTCCAGTCTATTCATTCCTTGCATAATCCCAGTAACACATTAACATTCCCCAGAGCTATGCCAGTCCTCCCAGCAATGTTTTCCAGTTAATTTGTTTTGTTGTGAATCAAATCCTGTTAAATAAACAGAGCAGATCCATTTCATCTTCTTTCACATTTCTGAAAGGAAAGTATTTGGTCTGTATTTAACTGAGAGCTGGGAACAAGGCACTGCAAGGGAGAAAACTTACTGAGGGCAAAGTTAAGGGTGAAACACATGCACCTACACACACCTTCACCCATTTCTGCAAAAAAGCTGATGTAATTTTGCATAACTTGAGACATTTGTGATCTGACTTTTCTGGGTCACTGTTATTCCACACCATTTAATGTTCACAATAGCTCCCACTGAGTGCAGCTCTCTCCTGAGAACCACGGGATGTCCAAGCCCTGAGGCCTTTAATGAGGCACTGAGAAAAGAATTTGTGTGTCCTGAACTTAACACATGGAGCTCACATCGAGGTTGCACCCTCACAAGAATGGGCTTCCCTTCAGCTACAACACACGAGTCTTGTGCCCCACTCATGAAATGGGGAAAGCTGGGATGTCTAAAGGCAGTCCTGGGAGAGTTCAGCCTCTCTGTGCCTCATCAGGATGTGCCACCACGCAGCGACAGTGACAGCCCAAGCACACACAGCCCTTCCCTGAGGTCACCCGTGTCACTGCCACCAGACCCAGCACCACTGTTCTGCACAAAAACCGCTGGAAACGTGTAACGGTGGTGGTGTTTTGCACCACTTAATTAGTGGTTTGTCTCAGTCTCTTGTGTCTTCACTCAGAGCCAGGATTAAAAAAAAACACACAAAGGAAACGAATTTTCTCATGTTCAGGATTGTTTTTATTAAATCTTATCAAAAGCACAGAAAGTTCAGCAACACTTCTAGCTACCAGCTAAAAGCGAGCAAAAGAGAGCAAGATCCAGCAGGCTACAAGGTCTCTTAAAGCTAAACAGTTTAATAGAGAATTAACACCTATATTATTTATACTTTTAACCCAATAACTAAATTCCCATGACCCTCAGTGCAGCACTAACTATCCAACCAGAAATTACTGCCTGAAAGCCATGAAGGAGAAGGAAGATGAGCCCCAAAAGAGATACCACCCAAAATCCTTTATCTTGTCCCATATCCATTACTACATTATAAAACCTCACATTTACAGCCCTTCACCATGTGGAATCACACACTTGTATTTAACTACACCCCTGTGATTTTAAAACCATCACTCAAATTTGGAAGCTTCTCTAAGGCCTCAGGTCCAAAGCAGTGTTCTCCACGGGGTCAGTGCCAGGAAGCTCAAATATCCCAGGTTTCTGGGATCCAATAGATTATTGTTTTGTTTTGTTTTGTTTTTTCCCCACTTAAGAGCTACTTGTAGGACAGCAGAAAATAAGAAGAGTCCTTCGTGGAGGAACAAATCAGCACGGCCGGGTAATTGTGAAAGCAGATGGTTCCAAGAGGGCAGCAGGCCCTGCAGTCCTGAACACTCCCGTGCAGGGGAAGGCAAAGAGACATTTCTGCCCACAGAGCTACCAACACCCAGGGGACCATGTCCGTGGCGAAATGTGCTGGCAGGACACACGGACACTGGAAAAGGAGACAACAGTGACAGAATCCACCTCAGACGCAGCTGAGGGAGCTGGGAAGGGGCTCAGCCTGGAGAAAAGGAGGCTCAGGGGGGCCCTTGTGGCTCTGCACAACTCCCTGACAGGAGGGGACAGCCGGGGGGGTCGGGCTGTGCTCCAGGGAACAGGGACAGGAGGAGAGGGAACGGCCTCAGGCTGGGCCAGGGCAGGCTCAGGTTGAGTATTGGGAAATTTCTTTACTGAAAGATTGTCCAGCCCTGGCCTAGACTGCTCAAGGCAGGGGTGGAGACCCCATCCCTGGAAGCGTTCAAAAAAGGCGTGAATGTGGCACTTGGGGACATGATGAGGAGGTGTAAGATCACAGGTTGGACTAGATGACCTTAAAGATCTTTTCCAACCCAGCTTACTCCGCGATTCCACAGCCGCTGCTGCACTGAGGGGGCCGGGGCGGGGCAGTGGGCGGGGCTAATCCGCCTCCGGGCCCGGCCCCG